AATCATCACTATCATGTAATGGAGGGATTAGATAAAAAAATTAACATTCCAATTTTGTGTCACGAATTTGGTAGTGAGAGCAGCCCATGTCGCAATCTGAAATTATACATGCCAATGAAATTAATGAGACGGTCCATAATATGGAAAGGGCTAATGATTAAGCCTTGAAAGAATTAAAGATTCCATTGTGCTAAATTATTAAGAAATACTGGAAATATGATTTTAGCCCCTAAAACTCACATAAAATCCGACAAAAGTTTTTTACTCAAATAAAACCTATTGACAATATTCTACATCAGTAAATTCATTAATTATGTTTGACTTTACACATTTAAAAAATTTTGATGCCTAAAATACCCCTATTTGAATATTTGAATGTTTGATGTACACAATTAATACCATGCGGGTTGTAAATGAGAGTATTTTACAAAAATAATAAAATAATAAATTCATTGCCTAATATATAAGCCCAATATATGGAATAACACATGCTTAGTTTAGTCAATTAAATTATATTTTACATATAAATGTAGGTAAATTATTTCACACACACACACATATATAACAAAAAAAAAACATGCATGCTATATGTAAAAATTCAAGCAAAATAATTTACCTATAAAAAAATGTAATTTGATTCAGTGCATCTACTATTCAACTTTTAAAATGTTTTATTTTTTTTAGTCGAAAAAGATGTTAGATTTCAAAATTTAAAATGTTAGATTGCTTAAAAAAGCAAAATAATTTACCCAATAAATGTAAAGTACATGCAAAATAATTTACCTACAAAATAAAGTAAATCCCAAAATACATGGAAAATAATGTACCTACATACAAAATAATATTATTTTATTCAATATGAGTTTATGTCACATCCCGGCCCGGGTCCACCACATCCCGGACCCGTTCCACCACCGTAGCACGATATTGTCCGCTTTGAGCTTACCATTCCCTCACGGTTTTGTTTTTGGGAACTCACGAGCAACTTTCCAGTGGTCACCTATCCTGGGAGTGCTCTGGCCTCCTTCTCGCTTAACTTTGGAGTTCTTACGGAACTCGAAGCCAGTGAGCTCCCAAAAAGCCTCGTGCTAGGTAGGGATGAGAATATACATATAAGGATCACTCCCCTGGGCGATGTGGGATTTTACAATCCACCTCCCTTAGGGGCCCGACATCATCGTCGACACACTTCCGGCCAGGGATTGACTCTAATACCATTACTGTCTCTCCTACACTCCCTAAAATGCCAATTATTACACCTACGGCATAAAGGAGCACCGGATCCACCTGAACCACCAAAATCTCTTTGTCTCTGGAACCTCGGACCTCCAGTGAGTCTACCACCTCTCCTCTGCATATTAGTACTCAATCCCCCGCTAGAAGAGCTGGAACTGCCACCACTCCTCTTAAAATTCTGAGTCTTGCGGGGTCCCTAAAATGCTTGCCCTTTTTCCTTTGTCATCACGTCTTTGACCCACATTCTTTCTTTCATTATCCTCAATTTCACTAGGCATGTTCTCTGAGGCCTCAATCCTCAGTAGAATCTCATAGAACTCCTGGTAAGAGGCACAGTGAGTCGATGTCGCTATGGAACGCCATTTCTTCTTAGTACCCAAACTGAAACGGCGAAGCATCTCTACCGGATTAGCAGCAACCTCCGGATCATATCTCGACAGATCAGTAAACATCCTGTAATACTCATTAACATACATCTTTCCTTGCCTCAGATGAGTAAACTCATGTTTCTTAAGATCAATATAAGCAGGAGGAATGAACCTTTTTCCGAAATCGCTCCTTAAACACTCCTCATTCCACAATCTCCTATGGGGTCATCTTATAAGACTCCTGTCTCCACCAAGATGTAGGTTGTTCTCCCAAAAACCATGTAGTCGTCTCGACCCACCTATCAGGAGGAAGATTCCCCTGACTCTGCATCATCTGGAAGGTCTTCTCCACATGATTCAGCCATTTTTCTGCCCCCTCATGACCTTTATTACCCATGAAGTGAGTCAACTTCAGATTATGAACTGTCTCAAGAGGTGTCATCTGGGGAGTACGTAATGCTGTCTGAATGGCATAAACTATAACTTCCCTTAATTGAGCAATATCAGGGAAACTAGATTCAGCTGGTTGACGGGGCTATCTACGAGGCGACATAGTTCTGACATAAGACATCACAAGGATTAGAACATTCAAGAGTTATACAAGACTGCTAAACCTAGGCTCTAATACCAAACTGACATCCCGGCCCGGGTCCACCACATCACGGGCCCGTTCCACCACCGTAGCACGATATTGTTCGCTTTGGGCTTACCATTCCCTCACAGTTTTGTTTTTGGGAACTCACGAGCAACTTCCCAGTGGGTCACCCATCCTGGGAGTGACTTGGCCTCCTTCTCGCTTAACTTCGGAGTTCCTACGGAACCCGAAACCAGTGAGTTCCCAAAAGGCCTTGTGCTAGGTATGGATGAGAATATACATTTAAGGATCACTCCTCTGGGCTATGTGGGATGTTACAGTTTACCTATTATTTGTACATATAATATTAAAATGTGTCCAATATATATGATGATGCATACAAAATAAAATACCTACATAATGAAAAAAATGTTATTTGATTCAAAATTAATCTACTTACAAATAAAGCAATTTTATTTTGATTCAAAATTAGTTTACCTATTATTTGTACATATATATGTTTGGGCCCAAAATATCAGTTTGGGCCGAGTATAGAATTAGTCTCGGCCCAGAAGGCTTTACGACAAGATTCGATTCTCAGGGATCAGTTAGTTCTGGACCGGTTAGGTCGTGGGCTTCCAAATCCGGGTCGATTATGCCATACCGCAAGACGAGTCGAATCCTGATGCAATGAGGAGTCTCGGCAAGATCAATAACTCGGAAACGAATCCGGCTCGATAAAGGACTAGGTTCACAATTATAGTGAAAATAAGACTGGTCGAGTTGGTGTTTGATCAGGAGAAGAAGACCTAGTCCGAGTAGGGTTTTAACTCGGTTTTAAAGGTATCCAATATATAAATAGAAGAGGCTGTGCATCATTCAAGGCCTCCAATTCAACACACAACTGCCATGCGCAAACTCTCTCAATAACTTTGAGATTTTTATTTTCTCTTTTCGCTAACACATCTTCCGTTGGCATCAACAGCACTGTGAAAGCAACCGGTGATATCTTAAGTCGGCATAGATAGCTCTGTCATCGTAGAATCAGCCGGTCTCGCAGTATCTTCCGTTGGCATCAACAACACTGCGACAATGACGATTGGTTACCTATCCAGGTCTCGGTCGAGAAGGATTTCCGGATCCTTATTGATTGAGGTCATCTCATTAGCCTTCTCGGCGAAGTGAGGTGTTACAGTTTATTGAGCTCGGCGCATTGGACGCCGAGTTATTTTATGATTGGATACTCCCAAGTGCGATTTAGAGTTCGGCATTCAGATGGCCGAACCACGTTCATTATTAAGACTTATATTCGCTTTGAGTATTTGTGCCCTTATACTTTGGTGTTGATTCGGCGAGAGTTTACTCTGATAAATAACATCACTGTGACCGAATCCGACGACGGCGATTCGTGAACTTCATAAGAATAGTGACCTTGTCTTCAGGTTCGAGAGCCCAAGAGGCCGAGACGTGTTCCCTTCTCAGACACAGAAGTCAGCTGCGCACCCAACGCAACATCAACAAATTTACTCCTCGGCCGAGCTCGGTCGATGAGTTGGCACGCCTCGCATTCACCGAAGGACGTAGTTAGCTTATAGATTACTCGGCCTGCGCGCCACGTAGGCTTGGTAGTTTTTAGGGTCAACAATATCTTATAATAATAAAATGTGCCAAATATATGTAATAACACAAGGAAAATATATTACCTGCAAAATAAAAGAATGTTATTTGTTTCAATATTAATTTACCTACAAAATATGCTTTATTGCTCATCATAAATTTACATATAGGTAGATTTATTAGTTAATATGTTTGAAAATATAGTAGTACTATTATATATATATATATATATGTTAGGGTAATAATATGTGCAATAACTATTTGTTCATTGTAATTAAGGTGAGTAATACATTTATTGATTTATTTTGAATATTGTGGTACAAGTTGTAAACATTTTGTAATAATAGGTTAATTACTTCTCTACTTGGCAATCATTTTCAAATTTGGGTTTTATTTTGATGTTTGTAACTAGTGGGTTTTTATTAGGAAATAAAAGTTGTAAGGGTCTATATTTAAAGAACCCAATATATTCAGATGGCCAAGCATATTTAATAACTGGAAACTAAATGGCTACAAAAAGAAATCTGAAAAAGTTAATTGAAGATTTGACGCAAAATTAAGCACAATGACGTTCTAAGATTTATACACCATTTAGTAAAATAAGACTTTATTGTTGTAGTTTCGTTGACGTACGAAAAATATGCAAACGGTGTCGACAGATAGATCAAACCCTATGGGCCGTGGTGCAACTTGGCATGCTTACCGGCCGCAAGGGACTGCTGGCTGGCAATGTTTATTTTGGTCCTAACTCTACGAACACGAAACCTGCTCGATCAATATGCAAGTAGCAAGTGGGGCCCGATAGCAAATAATACAACAAATTAACTTGATCCACCAGCTATATATCTAGTAACTAAGCTATGACAGCTACAATCCGATTTACATAAGATTTTTGTGAAACGTGCAATTTTTTATCCGATTTACATAAGATTTTGTGAAACATGCAATTTTTTGTGTAATTTAGTATCAAACACGTCATCTATATAAGTTCGTACCCAGTGCACAAGGCTCCCGTTTTACGCAAAAAATCTAGGTACTCAAATGGTGATATTTATCTTAAGTCAAATCGATTTCTTTTCGGGCAGTATACTTATGAAATATATTAATTATACGCCTCCTCCAAATTTGTCCTGGAAATTCCTTTCCTTTTCTTTCCCTTCTTTTTGTGTTTGAGGCGGATCTGGCTATCTCCAGGAAATTTCAGCAGACTATGGGGTTTGCTGATAAAAAAAAGAAAAAGGCTTTGGATTTTTCAAAGTCAAACAAAAAAAAGTAGTCGTGGAATACAAAAAGGATAGAAGAGTGCTGAGTTGGAAGGGTAATTTACTCCAATCCTCAATTACGAGCTTGAATCTCTTCTTTGTATTATATAAATAGAAAGAGCACCCTCGTTAATTTCTGTGCTTCGGACTCGACTTGCATTTCCTCTCGGGTTCTCTCTCACTCTCTCTCCCCCTCTCTCTCTATATATCTATCTGTGGTGTTGTCTTTGTCGTGTATCCTTGCAATCTTGCACCGGCCATGGGAACCCAAGCTCCAACTAACGACAACAATTACAACCGTGCAGAGGTTAGTCTCTCTCTCTCTCTCTCTCTCTCTAAATCCTATGCCTCTGACACTTTCGAAAGTTCCAATGATGTTGGGGTGCCTGTGTTTGTTAAAAATGTTTTTATTTTTCCTTTCTCGAATGCTTTAAGACTATCATCTTTCGTTTGTTGTTGTTGTTGTCGGAAAAAAATTGTGTTTGTTTCCTGAGAAAATGCAGCAACATGATATCAAAGTCTACAAAAATTAGACCTGTATTTCTAGCAAATTAAAAGCATTATTATATAATTATATTCATATTAAATACAGAAATCATATATCAATATTATCTCGTATATGCACTCTTTTTTCGTAGGGTTTTGAGCCTTCTGGTGTTGTTTATTTCTAATTTGTCAAAAAATCACTTCACTTAATTTGGTTGAAATGTTAACGTTCCTATCCAACGGCTTACGGCTTACGGCTTACGGCATCTAAATTTCTATGACATTCAACCTCCTCCTTTGAATTCCTAGACAATTAGTTCTGTGGAGGTGACTACAGACACCTAACACAATTTATGACCACATGTATATAGTCTTCGCGTTCTCTCTTATCAAAGCACAAATTATGCGAAGTACGTTTGCTTCACTTGTGTTTTAATCACATGCTACTCACGAAACGAGGTGATATATTGTTAATAAAAAAAAAGTAAATATACTATTTTAAACTAAATATTTTTGTATTATAAGTGACTTGAGAGTGAGGATTCAAAAGTAGACACCGTTTTAAAACGTATGAGGATTTTTTCTCCTTTTAATATCTCTTCATTTTTCTTCTTTCTTATTTGAACGGTTACAATTTAATCACGTCAACATCTTATATTATTTTTTTTATAAAGATAATAGGGCAAAAAGTAATATATGAGAGGAGGTAAGGGAAAGAGATGAGAATAGGAGATGAGAATCCTCCTCCTTTTAAAACGTCTATTTTTTCGTCTTGTCATTACATTTTATTTGATGTATTTTGACTTTAGCCACATAATTTTGTATTTTGTTTGAAGTTTTGTGCGCTTATAATATAAACACACAAGGAGATATTATTCGCAAGCTAGGTTGTCCAGAGATATTATTTGCAAGCTAGATTGTCCATTTAAGAGATTTTTCGATGTGTTCAGAACACATGATAGAACACCACATATCATTATACAATTGTAAGAACACTTCAAAGAAAACTTCTCTCTAATTATATAATATTATGTGATTCTCCTATCTTATTTCGAGAAAAATCCCTCATTCACTCAATTCTCTTTGCAAAATGTGTAGTATATTCCATGTTGCATTTAATTTCATAGCTCATCCTAAATTAAGTGACTTGATTAGTTGGCAAGATTAGCTTTCCAGTTGTCACTAGAACAATCCGCAGGATGGATTTCTATATGTAGAACAAATAAAGTAATGAATAAATTTTTGTTTGAAAATTGGTCAAAAATTACGAGATTGGGATTGAATAGTATGTTAATGGGCCGTAACCAAGCTTGACCGCTGTGCATTGGTCGTCGACGTAAGCAAGTAGTGCTGGGCCCGTTATATGGTGGGCCCAATGTTAATAAGACAGGTTGACAAAATTGATAAAATGGTCTTTTTCAACTTTTGAGTTTTGATTCCTCCATAGAATAAGAGGATGGTGGCAGATTGTCTGCCTTTCTGTTTGGGTGCCCTTCTTTTTCTCTTATATTTGTGCAGTCACGGTTAAATTACGTCAATATTTTATATTCTTATTGCTTTTTGTCTTATTATTTCTATAAAAAAAATCAATATAAAATGTTAACGTAGCTTAACCATGATCACACGAAATAAGAAGGAATGTGAATGACATCCAAACAGGGCAGACAATTTGCCTCCATAAGAGGATACCGGAATCTGGATGCCAAATACCAAAGGTTCATTGAATTTTTTTCTTCCCGAAACACTCCCTATTCCTCTAGAATACCAATTACACACCATTGTTGTTTGTTAGTTATTTTTCCCTCATTCGTCCTTGATTTACGGAAGATATTGGAAAAGGATACTTCGTCGGATTTCTTTCTTAGGGATTTTAGGAATCCAATGATCGTGATTGTTTATCGTATATCGTATGGTCAGAAATTATTTCAAAATTTAAAATTAAATATAAATAGTATCTAACGAAAACTGACAGCATGATGCATGATGAACGGTCATGATTATAGGATCCCTAAGAAAATGATTTGGCGATGATCATTTTCCGAAGATATTTAGCTTCATGCACATAAAAAGGTTAATTTTCCTCGCAATTAAATTAAAGTTTCGTACAATACAGTGTGTTAGAATATGATTTGCAGTTAAATTAGAATAACTTTTTTTTTTATGTAGAGTCAAGTTTCTAGCTAACCCACCTCCGACCATATTGATTTCAATCAAGCGAATAATGATAGGATAATACTTGTGTTCCTCTCTTGAAAATACAAATTTTATATCGGAACGTTCTATTTCTTAATTTTTATTTAAAGATCATTATAACAAAAAATCATTTTAATCGGAGATTATTTAGTCATTTCAAATTATAGAACAAATCGACAATAAATAAAATGTATAGAATAAATCGACGGTATGGGTACTAAATAATATATTTATGATGAACCGTCCATTATTTGATATGTTTAGGTAACTAAATGATCTCCAGTTCAAATAATTTTTTGTAAAATTAATTTTTAAATGAAGATTAACAAGTTGAAAGGTTCCGATCGTTAATTTTATTGGCTTATGTGATATTAGTTATTTATTTGGGTGAAAATATTTGATTGTTTTGTTTAAGATGCTGATGAAACATGTTATTGTGTATGATAGATTGATGAAAAATTAGCAAAGCAGAAGAAAATCGACGAGTGGCTTCCGATCACTGGTTCAAGGAATGCAAAATGGTGGTACTCAGCCTTCCACAATGTCACTGCCATGGTTGGAGCTGGTGTTCTCAGTCTCCCTTACGCCATGTCCAATCTTGGATGGTATGTTAATCCCAATCAGTTCAACCTTTTCCTCTGTCACCAGTAAATAATTATACAATTCTTCAGATCACTTTGGAAAGTAATTTCCGCATACTCCTCTCTCTGTACACCCTTGTTTACTTCTGACATTGAAATAAACAAGGGTATGAATTAGAAGGAAAGAGCATGCGGAAAACATTCTTTTAACTTTTTACTGCGGTTAATTTGCCTTCGCATTGTGGTAATTCAGGGGTCCTGGTGTGGTAATTCTAGTGCTGTCATGGATCATCACACTGTACACACTGTGGCAAATGGTTGAAATGCATGAAATGGTTCCAGGCAAACGGTTTGATCGATACCACGAGCTCGGGCAGTATGCATTTGGTGAAAAGCTTGGCCTTTACATTGTTGTGCCTCAACAGCTCATCGTCGAGGTCGGTGTCGACATTGTATACATGGTTACCGGAGGAAAATCGCTGCAGAAGGTCCACAAGTCTCTGTGCTCAGACTGTAAAAATATCAAGTTAACTTACTTCATCATGATCTTTGCATCTGTTCACTTTGTCCTCTCCCACCTTCCCAACTTCAACTCCATCTCCGGTGTGTCTTTGGCTGCTGCAGTTATGTCCTTGAGGTATAGATTCCGAACTTGACTTGATTGAAAATATTTTTAGAATGACTAAGTACTCGTTTGAGATTTATTTTGGGAAAGCTTAAAGGCGCCTTCACAAGCAATAGTGCTTTTAGTGGCTTGGATTAGTTGAAAATGTTTTTGGGTTATTGATAGATAAACTTGTCATTTTTCATGCCAGTCTCATGAATTGCTTAAAAAAAAACACATATGAACACAAGTGTTTTTTTTTTAACCATTCCCAAAGGGGCCTTAATAGTGCTTTCAGACTAACAAAAATACTTATTTCATTATTTGACAAATAAAAGTTAAAAAGAGTTCATGGATTATAAAAGTAGTTCGAGTTTTATAACAAATTTAACGTGTTTTATTCTAAAAAGCAGTAAATCACTTTCACAAAAAGTTTTAGAAAAACATTTTTTAACAGGTCGTTCATTTTGTTAGTTTTTGGACCAAATTAAAGTTTAATTAATATTCAATTGATTTTTTGATGGATGCAGTTACTCTACCATCGCTTGGGCAGCCTCTGTGGACAAGGGTGTGGTAGAAAATGTTTCATATGATTACCGATCTAAGACTACATCAGGCAATGTGCTCAACTTCTTCACTGCCTTGGGTGACGTGGCTTTTGCCTATGCTGGTCACAATGTTGTTCTTGAAATCCAAGCAACAATTCCATCTACACCTGAGAAGCCATCCAAGGGACCCATGTGGAGAGGAGTCATCGTCGCCTACATCGTAGTCGCCTTGTGCTACTTCCCAGTTGCTCTGGTCGGATACTACATTTTTGGCAAATCAGTCGATGATAACATCCTCCTGTCACTCGAAAAACCTAACTGGCTCATTGCAATGGCCAACATGTTTGTTGTCATCCATGTCATCGGAAGCTATCAGATTTACGCAATGCCGGTGTTTGACATGATCGAAACTGTACTGGTAAAGAAGTTGAATTTCAAACCTACTAGAACGCTTCGCTTCATTACGCGTAATATATATGTCGGTAAGTACCCTTTTCCCTTAATTCCATCAAGTTGTAACACGAGCTTAAGGGAGCATGTTGTTACCTGGGGTGGATAAATGAGTGTTCTAAATTGACATTTTATTGCAGCATTCACCATGTTCGTCGGCATTACCTTCCCTTTCTTCAGTGGTCTCCTTGGATTCTTTGGAGGATTTGCTTTCGCCCCAACAACTTATTTTGTAAGCCCGCAGTTTTTCTCCACATCTGATCCAAAACATAGCGTAAGGTTACTTGTACATTTTGATTTAATCTTGTTATAACTATCTGCAGCTCCCTTGCATAATGTGGCTTGCCATCTACAAGCCAAGGAGGTTCAGCTTGTCTTGGTGGTGCAACTATGTACGTTCATTTGTACTCATACTTCATTGTTCATAAGTTTTCGTTTCCTTTTAATTATATATTAGTTAACCTAATAATTATTTTACTTAATCATTTTCAGATCTGCATCTTTCTTGGTGTTCTTTTGATGATTCTAGCACCTATCGGAGGATTGAGAACGATCATCATTCAAGCCAAGACCTACAAATTTTACAATTAAGTCCTTCGCCACCCTTTCCGAAAAAGGATACTAGGTTGCTGCAAGATGCATCTCAGAAACGCAAAAAAGAAAATGAAGCTGTTGATGATGATGATGGAGAGTTAATTTAATTAGGACTATGTGCCTCGAGGGTCCTGCAGTAATCGAAGATCTGAAATAAATTGGAAACACAGATTGGTTTCATGGGGAAGAATTGAAACCATATCACCAATTGAAGGAACTTCAAAGGATCCTTCTTTTGTTTCATTTTCTCAGTTTGTGGTTGTGGATATATGCATGTATTTATATGTATCATCTCAATTTCTTTTCTTTTGTGTTTGTTTTTCTGCATTTTTAATTGATCTCTCTAGAAAAGATTGATCAAATCCTAAAATACATGAGAACAAATCTAGTCTTCTGTGTAATCAATACTCTTGATAGGGCTTAGGAAAAGAGTATTTGGAACAACATTTTCGCTTTATGTAGCTTGGTGTTGACAGTCTCTTTGGTGTGCAACATTTTCTCATATATTTATCAATGACGGTTTGAAATCTTTAATGGTTGTGCTATGGTGTTGTAATGTGACGTATGCCCAAAATACCGGCAACCAGGATGCTTCACTGAGTTATCGCTAAAACTCTATTTCATATTGAAAAGCACATAAATCATCATTTTAAAGGAAAAAAAAATGTCTGAACCCGACTGTTATTACACCCGACTAAAAAACACTTCAAAATTTGAAGCCAGTTGAGACAATAAGCACAGGAAAAGCGAAAGGGGGCATATTGGCAGGTAGGTCGATTATATTTATGCACCGTACGAGATGGATATGCAGCTGGAACTAAAGAAAGGGAGAAACAGGCCAATTTCCCCTTCATATGCACACTCTAATTCCTCATTGTCTTATCTGTGAAGAAGAAGGACTTACATTAAATGAAATGGCAATGTCAACTTACAGGCAAACATGTCACAGCCCGTCCCAAAGTTTTACACTCGTGATGGTGATTTAACGGAAATGTCTCTAATACATGACTAAGGTATAATTTTCACGTTCGTTATATCTAAGCTCCTAAAATTTGGTAATTAGAGTGGAGACTTAGACTTAAATTTTATGATGGAATTTTGTGATTTGGGGTTGGTTAGGACCACACACCTCAAATCCTTCCCTCTTTCCCGTACCTTGTCTCTCTCTCTTCCCTCACGACTCTCTCACTCTCTCTGTCACTCTTCTTCTCCGTTCGAACCAAACCAACCACAAAACAACCTTAAACTTCCATCAACGACGGAGTTAAGACCACCATCGAACTCCTGGAACCTCCACGATCACGTAGACACCATTTTCAGGTAAGGAATCCTTCGTTTTCGCGTTGAAAACTCGAGGTCCGAGTTTGGCACTATTCATGAACTTTTTGTTGGTTGATTTTTAGGACAATCCAAGCTCATAGTGAGCTTAGTGAGGTCCCAAGGAAGCTCGGAGTGCTTCGTTGGAAGTTTTTGGACGTAAGAACACGGAGATCGACAAGTTCAAAGTTTGGCCGGAGCTTTCAAGGCTTTTTCCGGCGAATCCCCGGCGAGTTAGGAGTCGAGGTAGGTATCAATCTCTTCGTCTCGTCAAGTACTACAACTTTCCTTTTTGTTTCACTCAATTTCGTTGAGAAATGACAAAGTTATGGCAATTTGAAAAACTGCCCAGAAAACGACCGCCGGAAAAACCAGTCCGGCGACCCAAGGAAGAAGAAGGTGCGCGTGGGGGCGCGTGGGGGCGCGTGCTACAGTAAAAAATTATTTTAAAAATATGTCGACGTCCGTGACGTCGAGTAGATCACTGTGGTATATTCATATACCCAAATTGAGCACCGTATGAGAAAGTTATTAAGGATTGTTGGTTAGGTGTTTGAATAACGTTTTATAGTTTTCGCATTAGGTGAAAATGTGAATTGATGATCCGACCATTGGATTGTTACCAAACTTTGATACGTTGTAATACGTAATATTTGAGGATTATTGGAACTTACGGATTGGGAATCCGAGTTACGGATCTTCCGGAATTGGAATTGTAAGTTCATAAAATAAAATGTTAACCGTCACTTAGTTTTGGAAATTGACGGAGATCCGACCGTTGGATGGTAATGAAATTTTAGGATGTTGTCCTAGAGGTATAATGTGGACCTCTGGAAGTTATGGATTTAAAATCTGAGTGGCAGATCTTCCGGATCGATCAACGTAGTGACGTATTTTATATAAGTTATATATTCTATCGATATGAATTCTGAGGTTGGATTTGATTACTGTTCTAGGCGGCGATCGTCATGACGCCTTGGCGTTGGCGTATTGTGCTAGGGAGTTGTAGGGCGAACTCCAGGTGAGTGGTGGGCAGTTTTGTTTTCCGTATACATATATACTTGCCGTTTTCCCAGAAATTGAAAATGCATGAAATTATGCTTTAAATGAAAATGTGTATAAAGTATATAAGATATATATATATTAGTTGAAATGCCATGCATAGAAGTATGCGAAAAGTATATATAGAATTATATGAAAAACGTGAATCGAATTGCCATGCATGAAATGATATGAATTGATATATGATGCATATGTATGAATTGGTGCGACGGACGCACATGTGAGTATCAGGTGAGTATTTAAATACTGTTATGATGATGTTGATATATATTGAGCTCAAATCCTGCACCATGGTTTAGTGCTTATAGTATTCACCGCATCGCACGCTCGCCTTGGATCCAAGTAGATGCTGGTCGCACAGTCCACGCGGAGTGGGTGCGACGGGCCAGTCGAAGAGTGTTAGTGAGATTTCGACTGGTGGGTGACCTTAGATTATGTGCACAGATGATTGATGAGAGAAAGCACTAGAGCGTAATATTAACCATTAAGTCGTACAGACTACATTAGGTGGTTCCGACTTATGTGCAGAAGGCCGTACAGGTTACAGCTAGTGACTCCGGCAATAGGCCGTACAGGTCACAGTTAGTGACTCCGGCAGAGTGAGAGTGATAGATTTTTAGCTCTAGGTTCAACCGTACAGGGCTATTAGAGGGCCTCCGGTTGATTACTTTCTTGCACCTGATATGATTATTGTTGATGCATCCATACTTAACTGTTGAATTAAACATGGCATGGCATGTTTGATAAAGAAAAATGTTGAGATAGTAAAAATGAAGTTTGAGAATATATATGTATATTTATATTTTACATTTCTGGGAAAGTATACAAGTTTTACGGAGAGGGGTTACAACGTTTTGAGAAATGTTTGGATTTGGAAAAGAATTGTTTTACTGACCCACTCAATTTTGGTTTTGCGCCCCTCCAGGTTCAGGAATCACAAAGGTGTGGTGACTACGAGGAATTTGACGGTGTTCTGACAGATTGGACAAAATTAGGACTCACCTTCGGGTGTATCAACTTATAAATTGTATCTTAAAGCTTCCGTACTGTGCAAATGGTTACGTCACTCTCCCGTGACGGCCAGCATGCCCTCCTTCGGGACGGGGTGTGTCAAAACAAACAGTGCATGAGTCATGACTCCCCAAAACATCTTGAGAATTTGCCTTCCGTACTCATTGAAACTCTTATTGCCTTGTAACTTACATTTTGTGTTGTTTTATCAGTTGAGACATTATATCACTTGCTTTTTTTGTAGTAACTTTTTTCTAATGTCGGAAATAGTTGCATTATATCATCCATCATCTTGGTATGTTGTGAACCTTGTCTTACCGTAATGATACTAAATAGTCAAGGTAATCTTAATAATATGATATAATTTAATTGAAGTATCAATCTGCTTCCCACACTATAAGAAAAATGACTTACTTACAACTCTAAGACATCATTGTGACATTCTAAATCAATAGCATGACACTATGTGTTTTAAATTTCTCACATATCATCACATGATAAAGTTGGAACCCTATCATTTAACGTACCTTTGTTCTGTCTTTTCAACTTGATACAATCGTGCTACGATGATTAGATGCCACATACAACTAAATAAGCAAAATAAGTGTGTTTATACCATACTTAAGGCCTCCGTATTTAAACCTCGTATAAATACTCGGGGGACTCAAATGTAATTATGTAATAAAGGAAGGGGTAAATATGTAAAAAGGGGAGGAGCCCTTATTCTATAAAATGGCCTCCTCACCCTCACAAACCCTAAGCCTCTCCTATCTAGAGTCAAGCTCTCGCACTCTCTCGCACAAATACTCTCAGAGAAATACAATCAGTGTGGACATAGCCCAAACCTTGGGGTGAACCACGATACATCTTGTGTTATTTACATTTCATGCAAATTCACGATTGGATTTACGTTGTTCCAAGACCTCCGGTTTTGTGCATCAACATTTGGCGCCGTCTGTGGGAAACGACACAAAAAACTATGTCGGTTCTTTTTCATTTTTTTTTATCAAACCTCACCACTGTGAATCTGCAAAATCACAAAAAACCCGGAAACAGAAAAGAAACCAAATCTCTCTCCTCCCCAATCTTGCATCTCTCTCTAAAACCGTTAGTTCACAAACCTTATGCGGCTCACCTTAACCCTCCATATCATCCTTCATCTCTCTAATCTTCTCTGCTTGCAACCTAAAACTTTACCCCTCAACTTTAAGATCACAGCAGAGCCATCATTTTTGAAGGCTTCGAGAGATCTCGTCAACAAATCCAAGATCAAATCCCTGCACTGCACAGTTCGTCGACAATCAAAAGATCCCATAAGAAAAAGGCGCATATACAGAAATCGCGCTGGTGCGCAGATGTCTCAAAGCCTTTAATGTCATAATTAAAGATTTTGATGCTCTTCTCCATGTAAACTCCGATAGGTTTGTGGGTTCTAGAGCTCGGGCTCAGTTCCAATCCATTTCAGCAGAGAGAAGAGGAGATAGATCGAGAGAGAGATGGAGAAGGAAAAGACGGTGAGATTGAACGTGAGAGTGAAGATGGAGAAGCTGAGCCCTGAGCAGTTGAAGGCCGTCAAAGAACAAACCGATTTGGAAGTCAATCTTCTCCAGGACTCCCTCAACAACATCTGCATTGCCACCGCTCGTCTCAGGATCGTTACCTCGGCCCTTTAGGAAAGAAGATGCTCATTCCCCTTACGGTTGAAACAATCAGGAGTTTTTTCACTTCTTTATTTGAAACCAATAAATACCACCAGATCCACCCATGCAACCGCCGACGCCGCCACTTCGTCTTCATCTCGGCATTCAAACAACTGGAAGTACGAGGTGTTCCCCAGCTCATGCGACGATACACGCACCACCTCCGGTAAAAGCACCTCCGCCAAAGAGCGCAAGGCCGGCCTCGTCCCCAATATCATCTTTGAGCAAGAAGACGGCCAGCACGGAGGCAATAAACGCCTCATTTCTGCACGGACCAACCAGAGCCGCAAGCTCGTCGATCTCTTTAGCTGCTCTTTCTTCCTCTCCAAGCTCTTTGACCTTGAGGTTCGCTCCGACTTCGACTCCGAAAACAACATCGTTGAGAGGGTCTGCATTTTGTCTCGCTTGATTCATCTGGACTCTCATGGTGGGTTCTTTCTAGTT